GGGGTGTTTTGGGGTCCCCCTGACCCCTGTGTCTCCCCCCCAGGTGATCCGGCTCTGGGGGGTCTTTGCCCAGTTTTGGGGTGTTTTGGGGGTGTTTTGGGGTCCCCCTGACCCCTGTGTCTCCCCCCCAGGTGATCCGGCTCTGGGGGGTCTTTGCCCAGGGTCCCGCCGTGGTTCTGGCCCTGGAGCTGCTCGTGGGGGACCTGGGGGGGCTCCTCCGGGCGGCCCCCGCCCCCCTGAGCCCCCCCCGCGTGAGGGCCCTGCTGGCCATGACCCTGCGGGGGCTGAGGCACGTCCACGGCATGAACATCCTGCACAGGGTGGGTGAGACCCCAAAAACACCCCAAAAACACCCCAAAAGCCTCGGGGGGACCCCAAAAATGGGGGGGGACACACAGGGAAACCCCCCTGCTGGCCATGACCCTGCGGGGGCTGAGGCACGTCCATGGCATGAACATCCTGCACAGGGTGAGAGACACCCCAAAATAACCCCAAAACCCTCGGGGGGACCCCAAAAATGGAGAGGGGAACCCCAAAAATGGGGGGGAGATAGAGGGAAAAACCCCTGCTGGCCATGACCCTGCGGGGGCTGAGGCACGTCCACGGGATGAACATCCTGCACAGGGTGAGAGACACCCCAAAATAACCCCAAATACCTCGGGGGGACCCCAAAAATGGAGAGGGGAACCCCAAAAATGGGGGGGACACACAGGGAAACCCCCCTGCTGGCCGTGACCCTGCGGGGGCTGAGACACGTCCAGGGCATGAACATCCTGCATAGGATGAGAGACACCCCAAAAACACCCCAAATACCTCGGGGGGACCCCAAAAATGGAGAGGGGAACCCCAAAATTGGGGAGGGAACACAGCAGGGACCCCCAGTGCCTCCTGCACAGGGTGAGACCCCAAAACTGGGGGGAACCCCAGAAATGGAGGGGGACACAGGAGGGACCCCCAGCGTCTCCTGCGCAGGGTGAAACCCCAAAAGAGACCCCAAAAACCTCGGGGGGACCCCAAAAATGGGGAGGAGAATCCCCAGTGTCTCCTGCACAGGGTGAGACCCCAAGAACTTCGGGGGGACCCCAAAAATGGGGGGGGAACACAGGGAGAACCCCCAGCCCCCGTTGCACAGGGTGAGACCCCAAAGAGACCCCAAAAACCTGGGGGGGACCCCAAAAACCGGGGGAGAACCCCCAGTGTTTCCTGCACAGGGTGAGACCCCAAAATACAGGGAGGCGAACCCCAAAAATGGGGAGGGGGACCCCAAAAATAGGGGGGGGACACAGGGAGAATCCTCAGTTCTGGGGGGCACTGGGATATACTGGGGGGGGTCACCCCGAGTTTTGGGGGGCACTGGGATGTACTGGGGGGGGTTCCCCCGAGTTCTGGGGAACCCCCCACAACCCCGGGGGGTCCCCAATTTCTGGGGGGCACTGGGGTGTCCTGGGGGGGTTACCCTGAGTCCTGAGGACCCCCCCACAACCTCGGGGGATCCCCCGAGTTTTGGGGGGCACTGGGATGTACTGGGGGGGGTTCCCCCGAGTTCTGGGGAACCCCCCACAACCCCGGGGGGTCCCCAATTTCTGGGGTGTCCTGGGGGGTCACCCCGAGTTCTGGGGGGCACTGGGGTGTACTGGGGGGCACTGGGATGTACTGGGGGGGGCCCCCAAGTCCTGGGGGGCACTGGGGTGTCCTGGGGGGTCACCCCGAGTTCTGGGG